GGAATAGCGGCTGATTTTGTACAGTAGAGCATCGTTGCTTTTCCGGAAATTCAAGGGCCAGTGTAGACAGCTCGCAGCTTATTCCGAAAAAACAGCTGATTTTCCGGAATAAGTGGCCCAGTGTAGACACAGCCCATCTGTGCCTTGCATCAGCGCGAGAGGTGAGCTTGAACCAGGACCTGGCTTCCAACACCCCTCCAAGTAGACAGGGCTGTTCAAAATCCCAATGCAGAGAGAACTCAGCTGAGTATGGGGGAAGGGAGGGTGTATCTTGCACATCTCATGGAACCCGCCTCCATCTCCCACAGCCGTCGGGATCCAGCAGAGAGCTTGTCTGTGTCTGGCATGCAGAGAACAAGCACTTCCATGCAGCGGGGCTGACAGACTTGTCAGGCCCTTTAGCAAGGTGGCAGGGGAAACTATGTGCCTCTGGAAAGGGCGGGGCCTCAGGTGGAAGGGGCGGGGCCTCTGGTGGAAGGGGCGGGGCCTCAGGCGGAAGGGGCGGGGCTAGCCTCTCCCAGGCAGCCTTGGTACTGCCTGGAGCATGACATGTGGTGCTCTGGAGGTGATTTAAAGGCACAAGACTCTGGCCACAACTGTAATTGCAGCAGCGGTAGCCAGCAGCTCCTGGCCCTTTTGAATCGCCGGGCCCCCGGGGCAGTTGCCCCCTTTGCCCCCCTGCACTGGCAGGCCTGCTTTCATACTAATTACCAAGGTGCCTTCACCAGACTTTAATACCGACGCCCCGTTCCCAAGCAGCAGTCAGGACCTGCCTCGTGTCCATTATGAAAATTATGGGACACGTGTGATTTGTTTGCTGACTGGATGCACCATGGGGACCCTGCGGAGGCAGACAGAGCTTCTCGGGGCAGACTTTGCACTAAGGTCCCTGCCCTGTTAAACAAGCTGGACTGTGCGGGCTTGGGACTACAGCGTGAATCCAGGTGTGGCTACGTTTTCAGCGTCTAACTCCCAAGCCAGAGCCTTTCCCCCGACGGGGCCCAGCTGCGTGCTTCTTTCCCTGATGGCTTCAGCACAAGGAGCAGCTGTGCCAAAGGGAGCATCACTGCTGCGTTGGCGGCCTTGGCTCCCGAGAGTAGAGAGAGCTGGCTCAGAGGGGCCCGGACTAGATGCCCCACGCTGGAATCGGACTGGAACGCTGAGCTTTTTTTCAAGTGAAAGCGGCCGAAAGGCTGGAACCAAAGCCTGATGACGGCAGTGGGGAAGCTTCCATGGATTCCAGGGGAGTGCAACCTTCGTGCCCAGATTTTTCATCGGCTCAGACGCAGCATTTCAGCCTCCTACGCGTGTCAAGTCAATAGCATGGCACCATTTTCTTGCTGCTCGCTGTGCCAGGGATGGGAGGCACAGCGAGCAGGGGAATGGCACCCCTGCCCTAGGATGTGGGGACTGCCTCAGGGCGTTCTCATCGAGTTGTGTCGGGGGCTGGAAACAAGGGCTGGTAAAAAAAATACTGGGAACTAAGTATCCACCCACTGATCAGCTGTTTGGTGATT